TAGATAATCTTACTGGTTGGCGCCAAGCTTCAAAATTGATTATAACAAAGATGGCATTGAGGATCAAGAAAGGGGGGATGTGGTGAAGGGTGCACCAGTGGTTGAACCGGGGGATCACCTGTTCTGTTTCAACCGCCCACGTCTTCTCCTCTTTTGATTCATCTTGTTCTCTTTCAGGTTCTTATCTCAATTCAACTTCCCTTCACTTAATTTCAGTGCCAATGCTTCTGATGATAGTCATGATTGTATTGCTTGCCACTTTCTTTCAGAATGCATTTGAACTCGCATTTTTTGCTTGGAGTACCGTAAGTTTCTTATCTTATCTTAGTGAACTTCGCTTGATTTTGTGCTTGGATGGCTCAGTGTTTTTCTATTAAATATGGACATTACTACAAAAGGATTTTTTCAGATGCAATTCGTAAAATTAAATGTATTGAAAGAGAATGAGTATCAGCATAATGATGAAAAGTTTAAAAAAGCCTCAACACAATTTAACCATCAGAAGTGCCTACTAGCTAGGGAGACATGCATTTGCAGATCATATAATTTCTGTAGTCCAGATTGCTGTCCTATTCTAGAGACGTTGCTGGTGAATAATTTAGTGCTTGAAAGTTAACTAAATAAAAAATGAAGCATATACACCAATATGAGGTGGTATAACTTAATTAGGAATAATTTGCAATGTTCAGCTATCCAGAATAGAAGAGTAGCCTCAATACCTGTAACCTGTCTGACGTTGCCTTTGCCATTTGTTGTTTGTGTTTCAGTATGAATTCTCAATAGACTCTTGCTTCCACCGAGGCACTGCGGCTATTGTCATTAGACTTACAGTGGGGTAAGCTCCTCCTCTTGCAAATATAATAGGAACCTTCCTAAAGAAACGGCTAGACACCAACCACCGATCATTCTTGAGCTCCTGTGTTGGAATTATTGCCTGACTGTGCCATGGTAGTTCCCTCCTGTTTTTCTAAACTAATGTACAAGTTACAAATTTTACAGGGTTGTCATTCAAGTTCTGTGCAGCTATGTGACCCTGCCTCTTTACGCTCTAGCACCCAGGTAACAGATATGAATTATGAATACTCCCTCAAGTATTCTTTATAAATAGAAGCGCTTCCCTGACTCCATGATTTTTTAACAGTTCAGGACCCTATAGCTGGCACTGATAGTTGTGTTGACTATGCATGACAGATGGGTTCAAGCATGAAGCCAACCATTTTCAACGAGAGAGTAGCAACCGCACTGAAGAACTGGCACCACGCCGCCAGGAAGAACGTGAAAAGAAAGCAAGCACTCGTTGTTATCAGAGTCAGTGACTCCATTCTCAAGCAGACCAGCCACCCCAACCCATGGCATGTCTCCGGTTCATCTTCTGCGCACCACCTTTGAGAAGCACTGAAAGTGCCCACACTTCTCCAGGGCTTCTTCTTCGAGCTATCATGACAACGACCATTGGGACATTGAAGCTTCATCGCCCTCCCCTACCCGCTACCCCGACGATCAGGCCGTTTCGGAGCCCACCGGTACTGCTTCTAATTTCCCCCCACCGCCTCAACATGAGATTACCATCGCCTTATCTGACTTTTCTTTTGACAAGCGTCATATGGATAGAGACTAACCCACCAACGTCTATATACCTGTAAAATCCATGCATGCCCTGCTGTATCTCAACATGAAGGGGCGTTTCAAATTTCTTGTAAAACTTTTTTTGATCCGTGTACATCATCAAGGATCGAGCTTCCTTGCCTTCAATTTGTGGCTGAAGATTTCTTGGGATGTTTATACGCACACTGGAAATATCTGGACAGAAATAATCACAGCTCTGTATTATTATTTTCCCAACTGAGAATTACAGGCAAAATCGGTAATCTCACAGCTGTAAGACTGAAAGGTAAACATAAGAAGAAGACGAAGAGAAGAAGAAATAAACTCGGGAAGGGGGAAAGAGCCACAGGGAGAGGAGAGAATTCACACTCACACACCACATCACACAGCCTCTTAAGTTTGGCCAGGGCCTCTAATATACTGTTTTTTAATATATTTTTTTTAATATCTCTTATAATATTTTAATATCTTAATTTTATTTTTTATTTTTTTTGAATCATTGACTTTTACAAAAAATAAGATACACTTGAATATCTTGATGTTTTAAAATGATAAAAATTTATATTTTTTATAATTTTTTAAAAATAAAAGAGTGTATTTATAATATTTTTTTAAAAAAATTATAAAAAATATAAATTTTCACCATTTTAAAGACATCAATATATCTAAATGTCTCTTATTTTATATAGAAGCCAATGATATAAAAAAAATAAAAAATAAAATTGAAATATTGAAACATTATAAAGAGCATTAGATAATGGCATATTAGAAGCCCCTAACTTTTTGAAGTTTGGACTAAAGAAACTATACATGTATTATCAAAAAAGTGCCTTGTTATAAAAAAGTATACATTAACCAGATCCATGCCCAAAAAGGTTGAGGAAGTTTTAAGATTCCCCAGAGATTAAATGTATGTTAGGTGACCAACACATTGACTTCCGACTTTTGATTAAAAAATATGAGGTAATTCACCGGCCAAATATTCCATGTACTTAAGTTATGCTTATGCTTCATGTCAAAAAATATATATATCGAGGCTTAAACTTAACTGTCAGTAAGAATTAAGAAATTATTAAAATTTATAGTAAAATATTGGGGAATATTGTTATTGTTTTTGGTGAAATATCAAAATCAAAAGAATAACACAAGATGCACGGATACTGTATCCTTTCTTTGAGCCGACAATGGTTTCATCAATTTGTTGGGCGCGCACTTGCGGGCCGGGGCTTTTCGCAACATCGATCAGTTTTGACCTAATGACGTCCCACTCCCATTTTGGGGTCTTCTTAGGCATTAGCAAAGACAGTGTCGGCTCCTTCGGAATGTAGATATACACACACAAATTAAATAATACATTCCTCGATTCTATATATATTTATACATCTAGTATGAGACAAGGGACAACCCTATGTATACGGAGGGAGGGAGGGTAAGGATGACTTAGAAGGGGAAGTGGGTGGAGATTTGGTGGTCTTGCGAACATACTTTCTGGCCCAGACATGCTTCCCATTGATGCTGAACTTGACTTTGCCTTTGCCTTCCAGCACTGTATCTATCAAATTTCGCCATTCGGACGCACTACTAGTCGCGCATATAGAGGTTGCTCCGGCATTTGAACTTCTTGCATGTATACTTCTTCAATCATGTCTCCATATCTTCTGCACCGATAGACAAAACAAAACCATTCATGCATCCCTTATGCTTATGAAAATGACATCATATTATGTTCGAGTACAAGAAACCAAAAAAAAAAAAAAAAAAGACAAGAAGAAGAACGAACGAACGAACCTTGAGAAGTAGTCTCGGACCTCTGCCTCGGATAGGGTACCCTTTCGAGAAAGTCAAAAAAATGGTCCTTTCATCTGGAGGCACATGCTTCGTCACACCAGCACTCAGCTCCAACCTCTTTAACATCTTCTGAGACTCATAACTACACCCAGAACTGGCATCGCCGCACCAGGCAATAGCTTTATGATCTGTAGAATCGTAATAAACCCGTTGCGCCGTCGGACTCATCAAGCCACGTTTTCTCATAGCCTTCTCACCTTCAACTCGTTGCACTATGTCCGTGAAGGCTCTGATGCAGACGTCGTTGATTATTTTGGTGATGGCACCGATTATGCACGCGCGGTTTTCTAGCAAGTAGCGGACGGTGACGCTTCTCCGGGTGACGCCTTCGGTTAAACGCAGGTCGTTAACGGCGTTGGCATCGCGAGGGAGCTGGTTGCTCTCGATGCAAATGAGGGCGAAGACGACCTCGTTTACAAGGTCGTTGAGTAAAGCATCGGAAGCATGGAGGAGGTTGGATACGAGCCTGAAATCCTTGGTCATGTTCTCGAGCCAGATGAGGTACGCCATGACCTGCATGGCCTCGTTGGGTTCGCGACCGAGAGACGCCAGGAGACGCGTGAAGAGGATGCGGTCGATGTTGTGAAAGTGGTTAAATTCATTTTGGGAGACCGTGACACTGCCGGTACTGGAGTCAGTGCTTGAGGAAGAAGACGGAGAAGCCATAGTTTGTTGGGGAGGTGAAGAAAGGTGGTCGGTAGGGTTTGGTATTTAAGGACATGAAAGGGTGCCATAGGCGACCTTTTGAAGGTACATTGATAAGATGTTTCCATGTGTGCTATCGCAAGGGATCTGTGCGAGGGCGCTGGGGATCAATGAATCTCATCTCTTTCTATTTCTCTCCTCCGTCGTCACTAGAGACTAGAGAGGAATCCGACTCAATGCTACGAAATTCAAGTCCAGCATTTTTACTTATTTGCTTTATTTGATTTTGACGAAATTAATGGGTGAAAGGTTTGTAAATTCATTTGTATCCGTGATTTACTAATGTTTGAAACCCCAACAGTTGAATTTAGCGTCTATCATCATTTATTAATGGAGTAATTTGATTGATATGTTGATGTGGTTTAATTAAACGAGTAAATGGACGTTATTTATCTCAGGCCCGACGAGGCGGAGGTAGTAGTAAATTAATTCATTTATAATTATAATACAATTTTTAGTTTTCCACAAGACAGCCAAATTTTAAAAAGAGAATGACAAATAAGTCCTAAGATGATCAATTAATTTAAATTAGATTTCAAGCATCAAACTTTAAAAATATGCAAGTTCGTCTTTCAATTTTACAACTTTATTACGATAAATTTATAATTTATTTTTTTAATTTTAATATGAATAAATAAATTTATTTTTAGTGTCAAAATTTGAAACATATGTAACAAATTCATCACAATTAAGAGTTGAACTTCCAAATTTTTGAAATTTAATACTTGAAACTTAATTTAAATTAATTAATCCCTTTTAAACCTCTCTGTTATTTTTCCAATTTTAAACTTAATTATCTCTATCTCTAAGGATACAAAGATGCCTTTCCGAATTTTTGTCAACTCGTGAAATTAAAAAGTTTTAGATGATTTTATAACTCCAAAGTTTTTATCCTCTAAAATTAGATTAGTAAATTTAAGTGAAGTTTTCTTTTTAAAAAAGAGAGAAGATTTTATTTTATAAAAATAATAAAATGAGCAAAAATACTAAATTCACCAATCCCCAATTTAGAATATTTAAATTTTAATTAAAGTATAATTTTCAGTCTATAACTTTATTTAAAATTTTAATTTAGTCTTTTAATTCTATAAAGTATTTTTTCAATTCTTTAACTTTAACATCATTAGTTTCAAACGATTATTTTTTGTGTCAATTATTGTTATTTAAAAAAAATTAAAATTAATATATCAATATTTGAAAATATTTTGTCAAATTTAAAATTTAATGTAAAAATTTATTGAGAAAAAATTAATAATATTAGGATTAAAAAATTAAAAAAATATCTTATAAAGTTAAGGGATTAAAATAAAATGTTGCATAAAGTTAAAGGACTTAATGTATACTTTAGCTGAAATTTATTTTTTACTTGGACTTGAAAATGTTTTTAAACTTATAAATATATATACAACTTCTCAATCTCAATTATATCTCACAGAGTGATATGATTTCGCATTTAATTTCTTCTTATGCCTAATGCCCTTGTTCATTGAACGTGATAAAGAGGGATGCACTCAATCCATTATTCACTGAATATAGAGAAGTGAATTTAACCCTTTATTAATTAATTGAACATAAAAAGATACCACGTACATTCAAAAGAACTTTTTTTTTTTTTGGCAATTCAAATGTACGATAATTCAACCTTTGCTTATTGATAGAGAAAAGATAACCATAAGATATATTCTCCTAATACCATGTCATCAACATGTTGCTAATAAGAATGCTCCAAATTAAATTAAATTAAAAAATTATGTTTATCTTCAATATACATATTTTCTCTCATCATTTAAGTTTTTTTTTTTCAAATTTCTTTCTTCACCAAAAGATTGTGTTTGCTGGATAGAGCATAATGACATAGTATTATTTTCAGGAGTAAATAAAATTTCTGATGTGG